AAATGTAAGCTCATGTGAAGTGACTTGAGGCATTTCACTGCATTGAAACAGCAAATGACACAGCTAAAATGGTAAGAATAACTCAAGTAACAATCCAAGCATCCAGCTGTTGTTCAGGTATCACACATGCCACTGTGTCAGAAGGTAGCAAGTTCAAGTCTCCCTCTGTAGCCAAATTGCCTAATACACCATTAACTCTTAACATCCATCTGTATTACTTCCTATTTAAACAACGTTTGTTCTCATTAATAAAATTACATCTGTGGAATTGCATCTTCTCCTAATATCTACAGCAGTGCTCGGTATAATAAACTTAATTGCAATAACAACATTATGCCTTTTATCAGTCATGTAATGTTTGCTTTGGTTTCTGCTGAAGGTGGTGATTATTATAAGTCAGGCATTAATTTAAAAGCACAATGATTGATTTGTGAAATGAGCAAAATAAGAATTCACAAAGTTGTTACACTGTCTAATAATAAAAACCCAGATGATCTTCGCAAAGATTGCAGTGATTTAGTGGCGAATAAACAGATTATGAAGGCAATGCTAGCAAATCTAAGACACAAATTAATATTTGCAGCTTCTGCAATTATGTCTAGAGTAAAATTTAGTAATTGTAAAGCAAAGAAGGAGGCCACTTGACCCATCATTCCTGTACCTGCATATCTTACTATTTCTGATGAAAAATGACTATTAGGCCAAACTTTATAGCAGGTAAACATTGATATTAACCACAAACACTTGGAAATTATGTCATTATTAATCTAAACAAATGCGTGCAGCGAATGGTTCTTCAATTATTGTTGAAAGGGATTAACTTAACAATGGAAAGGTTTGTAAGTACCCTGCAATCTAAAAGTCAATATTCTTCCTATGAAGAATGAATGAAGAATGAAGAGTCTCATTCTTTCCATTTTCTAAGTAAAAGAAATGGCTTTCCCTTTTATTTCAATCTATTGTTGCATGTTATGACTGAAAGATTTTATTAAGTGGTCATATTTTCGATTTTCAATGCAAGGAAAAATGGTGTAGTGAAGTTAGCCATATGATCTGCTGTCATCTTCTCAACAAAAGACTGCTTGGTTACTATGGGAACAGGGGACCCAAGTTGAGGCATACTGATCACAAGCATAAAATCCTCACACCTGAAAACAAAGGCAAGTCCAACTGAACTAACCATGGACAGATATTCTTTCTCAGCACTTTTGGACAGAAAGAGAGAGAAGGTCTGTGAGTCCTCTGTGAGTTTCCAAGCTTAAGAAAGGAGAAAGGACACTCTCTGGTAAAAGAGACACTTTCTATTCTCACAACCTAAATAATCATTCCCCACTGCTCCACAAGTCATCACAAAGTGTGTAAATGAATAAGAAACCCAATGAGACCACCAAAATGATTGATTTGCCGAGCCGACTGCCACCCAAAAGCAAACCACAGGAAGTTTCTTCACTCATAGTAAAAATAACTATTTATTATAACAGACTTAATTTAAACAAGAGCAGTAAAAAGAAAGGATTTCTAATATATGCACATTTAAGTTTTATCTTCCAAATCTCTTCCCCAACACATACATGTACATGATTAAGACAGATAAGAAAGAGAAAGAGAAAGTTGTTAGTCTCCATGGTGATCTTAACACTACCATGAATACTCAAGTAAGAGCAGCATGCAGAAATGTAATGGTTTGATATGCAAATCTAGATCCTTAGTGTTTTTGTTTACTTCTATAGAAAGATCTTGCATGTATGTGCATCCAAAAGACTTAACTTGAATCTGTCTATTTACTCACACATCTGGTTGCATTATCATAGCCTCAGCACCACACGTGGATGTAAGAAATGAAAAAACACTGTTGAGACAATCAAGGATAGCAAGAACTGCGGTCGCTGGAGTCAGAGACAACACAATGTGGAGCTGGAGGAACACAACAGGCCAGGCAGCATCAGAGGAGCAGGAAAGCTGATGTTTCAGGTTTTCTGAAGAAGGGTCTCGATCCGAAACGTCAGCTTTCCTGCTCCTTGATGCTGCCTGGCCTGCTGTGTTCTTCCAGCTCTACACTGTGTTGAGGCTATCAAGCTTTCCCACGGACCTTGAATACCTATTTTCAACTTTACCCTCCCCCTTCAAATTTCTCTGTGCCTTGCCCAATTAAAAACACATGTTTTTGAATGTAACTACCACATCAGCATTTATTGTTTTAACTTATTCCTTACATCAATACCACTAACTAGAAAGAAGTTACTGCGAGATATATAATTATTATGCTTTTCTCTGCAAGCACTCTGTTACTTTTATGTGGGTCTGACTAACCAAACTGTGTCCCCACATCCACCTTGTTGAATTTCTTTGTTGCGTTAAAGCTTAAGCCAGATTTCATTCTCGTGCGCATTTTTTTTGTTTTATTTTGTCTAATGACAACAAGGTGCAGGGCTGGATGAACACAGCAGGCCAAGCAGCATCATAGGAGCAGAAAGGCTGACGTTTCGGGCCTAGACCCTTCATCAGAAATGGGGGAGGGGAAGGGCGTTCTGAAATAAATAGGGAGAGAGTGGGAGGCGGATAGAAGATGGATAGAGGAGAGGATAGGTGGAGAGGAAACAAACAAGTCGAAGAGGCGGGGATGGGGCCAGTAAAGGTGAGTGCAGGTGGGGAGTTAGGGAGGGGATAGGTCAGTCCAGGGAGGACGGACA